TGTAGCCCTAATTGGCCAGGAACTTGCTATATAGACCACGCTGGTCTTGATCTCACAGAGATCTGCCTACCTCTGCATCCCAAATGCTGGGATTAAAGGTGTGCACCATCATGCCTGATGTCATGAAAAATATTTTTAAAAATATTTTTAAATTATTTTTATTTTATATGTATGAATGTATTGTCTGCATGTATGTCAGTGTACCCATGTTGTTCAATGTTCATAGAGGTCAGAAGAGGGCGTTGGATCCCCTGGAAACAGAGTTACAGATGGTTGTTAGTTGCCATGTGGGTGCTAGGAATTAAATCCAGGTCCTCTACAAGAGTAGCCAGTGCTCTTAACTGCTGAGCCATCTCTCCAGCACCCATGCAAAATATTTTTATAAAATAAATTATATACAGTGATTAGCCACAGTATTATAATGATAAAATAAACTATATATATTTTAACCATTGGGAAACTGAACAGAAAATTATATAGCCATTAAAGAAAATTATACAGCCATTAAAATGATAGCTATAAAGACTATATAGCAACATATGGGGGAATGTACAATTAAGGTAAATTTATTAAAAATGAGAACATAAAATCATAGACACACTAAAAGTATATAATGGAAAAAAATCTATATTTGGGTCATAGGATTATATATACAAATTTTTAAAACTTTCTTTTACCAGCGTGACATTTTTCAAAACAATAAATAAAAGATACAAAAGGAAAACAATGTCGGGATTAGATTGCCCATATTCACAGCTGGAGTCGATTTCAGAACCTAAAACACCAACACAGGAGTTTTACTTTGTCAAGATTCTAAAATGGGGTTGGGGCCACTATGTATTTACACACACACAGACACACACACCATACCCTCCCCATCCATAAATAAATACACAGTGCTTCTTGATTCTGATGCATGTTGGTGACAATTCTCAGCATAAAGTTTCCCATGTCTATGTGGAGTAATAAGCTTGGCACCACCCATGAGGTGCTATGGCGATACAGACCAGGCTGTTCTCAGCATGTGCCTAAACTGCTGCAACCACTCTCACCAGTGTCTGTGGATGGTGGACAAGCAGAGGCAGTGCCCTCGGAGCAGGACTGCTCCACAAGGTGGAAAGCCTCCAGGAACTCATTGATGTCAATGTGGCTGTCCTTGTTGAAATCAGTGCTTCGGGCAAGGTTGCAGATGCAGTCTTCTGTCATGTCAATGTTTATATGAGAGCTAAACAACTTCCAAGTCTGTCTGAACTCATCCAGAGAGATGAACACAGACCAGAGGTTGACGTCATGTAGTGAGCCCATCTAGTATTCATTTCCTGACTTTCTTACACAGACACCTGCTCCCCTACTCTTAAGCAAACATAGAGCCCAAAGGCCAAGGGTTTGGAATAAATTCCAAAGGCGATCACAGAAAACCACTGGACCATGATTGGTTGGTTGGTTTGTTTTGTTTAGTTTTTTTCATTTGGGAACAATTGTGCTCCCCTGGAGGGAGGTGAGTATTTGGCAATGTCTGGAGACATTTTGTTATGGTCATAACCAACATGAGAGTGGGGTGCTACAGGCATCTAGTAGATAAAAGCCAGGGATGCTGCTAAACACCCTACAATGCACAAAATAAACCCCTCAAAATAATTTACCTAGCCCCAAATGTCAACAGTCATCCCAGACATGTGCTAATTTATTCTGCTTACAAAACATGTTTAAACTGGACCCACTTATCCTAACTACCCTGAGGAAGAGGGTTGCCTGAGTCTAGCACTTGGACACTAGCCTGGTCAGTGTAGTGAGACCTTGCCTCAAAACCAAAACAGAACAGCAACAAAAAAGCCTCTGATCTATGCATGGTCAATTGGTGTTTGTTTATCTGTTTGGTTTTCTGCAGTGTTAGAAGCTGAACCCTGGCCAGGGCTCTCAAATGTCAGGCAAGTGCTATACCACTGTGCTACATCCTCAGTTCCAGCCAATTGATTTAAAACAAAATTTATTATTATTATTGTTATTGTTGTTGTATGTGTATATTTATGAGAGAGAGAGAGGGAGAGAGAGAGAGAGAGAGAGAGAGAATAGGTAAACCATGCATACCATAGAACACAGTGTACATGTGGAAGTCTTCTGGGGATTGAACTCAAGCTTGTTGGCAAGTATTTTACCCACTGAGGCATTTCAACATCCCTTGATCAATATTTTTTTTTTTTAGCCCCAGCTGGCCTAGAACTCACCATGTAGACCAGGCTGGCCTTAAACGCACAGAGATCGGCCTGCCTCTGCCTCCTGAATGCTGGGATTAAAGGCATGCCCCACCATGCCTGGACTCAATTTTTTTTTTTTTTTACAGGAGTTCTAGGACCATTTGATGAAGCCAGGAGTGGTGGTGCATACCTGTAATCCCAACTACTCAAAAGGCTGAAACAAGATGATTGCTTGAGACCAGGAATTCACAGCCACTCTAGGCAACACAGAGAGAATTCATCTCAAATAAGTAAATCAATCCTATTAAGAGCATCTGATAAAAAGAGTAATTCTGCTGGGCATGGTGGCGCACGCCTTTAATCCCAGCACTAGGGAGGCAGAGGCAGGCGGATCTCTGTGAGTTCAAGGCCAGCCTGGTTTACATAGTGAGTTCCAGGACAGCTGGGGCTACAGGGAAACCCTGTCTCAAAAAGACCCCCCCCCCAAAAAAAGGGTAGTTCTTCCAACACTGATGGGGGTGGGGCAGCTAGATAGCTGCATGTAAAAGAAGGAAGCTGGATCCCTACCTTACACCGCATACAAAAATTAACTCACTATAAACCAGAGTCCCAAGTTAAGAGCCAAAGCTATAAAAACTCTTAGAAGAGTATTTGTGATCTTGAATTATAAGATAATTTCTTGGATATGCCATGAAAAATATAAATAGCTAAAGGAAAAAAAAGGTCATTTTCAAAATTAAAAATGTGTGTGCTACCAAGGATACTACCAAGAAGCTAGAAATCAAGCTGAAAAATAAGAGAAAATATTTGCAAAACATACATCTAACAATGCCCCAGTACCCAGAATACTTAAGTAACTCTTATAACTGAAGTAAAAAGGCAAATAATTTAATTTAAATGGACCAAGAATTTGAATAGATGTTTCTTTAACTGGCCAATAAATGCAAATTAACACCACAGTAGGATAATCCACACCTGGGAAGACAATCATATTTTTAAAATTTCAACAGAGGCTGGCAATATAACTCAGCTGTTAAGAGAACGTGCTGCTCTGTTTGGTCCCCAGCACTGCATAAACCACATAGTGGCTATCATCTCAGCCCTTAGGAGGTAAAGGCAGGAAGATCAGGAGTTCAAGGTCATCCTCAGCTACCTAGTAAGTTTGAGGTCTACATGAGGACTCAACTGACTCAAAACAAAACAAATAACTCTCCAAAAAAGAAAAGAAAATAGAGAATGGCATTGATACTGAGAATTAGAACTCACACACACTGTCAGATGGTACAGTCACAAAACGTACCCAAATGTTTGTAGCAGTGCTATTCACAGTGATTAAAAAGTGGAAATAGCCGGGTGTGGTGGCTCACGCCTTTAATCCCAGCACTCGGGAGGCAGAGGCAGGCAGATCTCTGTGAGTTCAAGGCCAGCCTGGTCTACATAATGAGTTCCAGGCCAGCTGGGGCTACAGGGAGACCCTGTCTCAAAAAAAAAAAAAAAGAAAAAGAAAAGTGGAAATAATCCAAAAGTCTAATGATTAGATAAGCAAAATGTGATATCCTGACACTGCTACAGCACGGCTGAATCCTGAACACATTACACTAAATGAAATAATCCAGTTAGCATGCTAAAGGCCGTATATTATACAGTTCTGTTTATAAGGAATGTTTAGGATAGGCAACTCCACAGAAACAAAAGGTGGATTGGGGGCAAGATGGCTTAGTGGGTAAAGACACCTGCTGCTAAGCCTGATAGCCCAAGTTTAGTCCCTGGGACTCACAAGATAGAAGGAGAGAACTGACTCCTGCAAGTTGTCCTCTGACCTCCACATGCACGCCGTGATATGCATGCACCCACCCCACGTACAAAATAAATAAAATGAAAAACAAAGAAGAAAGTGGATTAATGATTTCCAGGAGCTGGAGAGCAGATGGGAATGGAAAGGGGTTTGGGAGGAAGATGATGAAAATAGTCTAAGGTTCATTAGTAGGGATGGTGATACACAAGAAGCCACTGAACGGTACGCTTAAAATGGGTGAATTATATGGTAAGTGAATTAGACCTCAAAGAAGTAATATCATTGTGCAAAATCTTTGGGCCACTAGGGAGACAGGGCAGGGGTGTACAGGACCTTCCTGAATGTCCTTTTATAACTTCCTGTAAATCTGTAAGTATTTCAAAAATAAAAGGTTTTGTTAAGAATAAAACAAAACTCCTCAGGGAAAGATTGCAAAGGCTTTCTGTTCTAGGCACTCCTCATTACTGTGTGGCAATCTTTGAAGGAACTGCAAAGGACATCGCATCTTCTAATAATTATTCATCCTATTGGAAGCATTCATGCCATTTGTCCTTAATGTTCTCTGACACACCTTAAAGACAGGGTCTTGCTATGTTGCCCAGCCTAACCCAGAACTCCTGGCCAGGCATCCTGCCTGAGCCTCCTCATACACTTCTTTTTTGTCGTCGTTCTTTATTTTTTGAGACAGAGTTTCCCTATATAGTCCTGACTGGCCTGGAACTAACAGAGATCCATCTGCTTCTGCCTCCCAAGTGCAGGGATTAAAGGTGTGTGCCACCATACCCTACTACATACACCTCTTGTATTGCTGAAGTACTTTTCCAGAGTCTGTCATTTATATGTATTGATATTACTTACTTTATTCCCAAAATACTCGAGTGGACATGGATTGGGATGACTTGCAAAACACACTAAAGGGTCTGAGGCAAAGTATTGCTATGCCATCCAAAGTGACAGAAGAGGGCTTTTACCTGAATGATCAGTCTATGATCCTAAATATGGTCTCCAAGTTGGATCGATTTCGGTACAGTTTTTCCAGCAAACTTGACTGTACATTCTGTAGGAAAAAAAAATGATTTTTTTTGTCCTAACATATAATTAGCACACAACTCTGTCAATTACACATTTTTGAAAAACACTGATGATATTTAGCATCCTTCTACCCCCACTGGGTATAAAAAGTATAAAGTTCTGGGGCTGAACAAATGGCTCAGTGGTTAAGAGCACTGGCTACTCTTGCAGAGGACCCAGGTTCGGCTCCCAGCACTCACATGGTGGCTAATAACCACCCAACTCCAGTTCCAAGGGATCCGATGCCCTCTTCTGACTTCTGAGGGCATTTCACAACACGAGTTGCACTTACATACATGCAGGCAATACATTCATATACATAAAATAAAAAATAAAATATTTTTAAAAACAAGTATAAAACTCATAGTTACAATGTTCTAAAACAGACTGTGGTGGGTAGCTGCATATATTTGCAAATACAGACATCTCTTCATGTCCACAGATTCAGCATCCATGAACCAACCAACCGTGGATGAAAAATGTTAGGGAAAATTGTGTTGGTGTTAAACATGTACAGACTTTCCCCCCATCATTATTCCCTACACAATACAGTATTGGAACTTTTTACATAGAATTCACAATGTATTGGTTATGATAAGTAATCTAGAGATTAAAGTCTGCTAAAGGATGTAGGTAGGTTATAAGTAAACACTATGCTGCTTTACATAAGGGATTTTGGCATCCATAGATTTTGGTATCTGCAGAAATCCTCACACCAGATAGGAAGGGATGACTGACTGTACACCGAACACTACTGAATTGTGTACTTTCTTTTTTTAAAAATATTTTAGGTATTATTTTTATTTTATGCATATGAGTGTATTGCCTGTATGTATGTGAGTGCACCCATGCAGTGCGATGTCCATGGAGGTCAGAAGAGGGTGTTGGATTCCTCTGGAACTGGAGTTAAGGACTGTTCTGGATTCCTCTGGAACTGGAATTAAGGATGCCATATGGGTGCTGGGAATTGAACCTGGGTTGTCTGCAAAAGTAGTCAGTGCTCTTAACCATTGAGCCATCTCTCCAGCCCCTGAATTGTGTACTTTCAAGTGAGTAAATTACATGATGTGTGAATTATATTGAAATAAAGATATTTTTCAAAACCATATAACACAAAATCTCACTTAAATTATATATTTAGTAAGTAGTCATTGACTAGTTTTTAAAATAGAGGAAACTGCATGCTGTTGGGGTTGGGGAAGCAAAATGGGATTGAAAATCAGTCAGAGTTGAGTTGGTTTTTGTTTTGGTGCTGGAAGTTGATTCCAGGGCTTTGGAAATGCTAAGTGCATGCTTACCCCTTAGCCCATAGAGCTATCCCCTTAGCCCATGCCTGAATTAAAAAAAGAAATTTATTTTTATTTTATGTATATGAGTACTTTATCTGCATGTATGTAAGTGCACCATGTACTTGCAATGCCCTGCAGAGGCCAGAGTGGGCGTGGATCCCCTGGAATTGGAGTTACAGATGTTAGCCATCATGTGGGTGCTAGGAATCAAACCCAGGTCCTCTGGAAGAACTGCAAGTGTTCTTAACCGCTGAGCCATTTTTCTAGCCCCCACGAGATGGAGTTTGAGCCACAGCTGAGCCACACATTCCATAACCCCAGGCAAATGTCTTAACCTCTGTGGGTAGTGCAGTCATAGGTCTAATGGCATGGATACTACTGCTTCTTGGCTTTGAGGATTAACTGAGGCAGCCATATGTCAACCACTTAACACAGAGTCTGACACACTGAAATGTATTTGTTCCTGTTTCTTGTTCCTCCTGCCTTTACAACTCTAAAAAGTTTCTGAATTGAGGCTCTCTAAAGGGGTTTCAGAGGCCACAGTATGCTCTCATTCCCGGTCATCGCACCATTACCTCTCAGCTAAACTGCCCTTTGGCCAAACTCTCCAACCAGGACTTGTACTCTAGCGCATTATCCAAGGAGCTGTTCACCAGCTGTGGCCACAGCATGCACCACAGACAGATGCAGCACAGACTCCACGGCAGCTAGCCAGTCACTCAGGGGGATTACACCTGCAGGAAAGAGCTGGCTTGTTGACTGCCACCTAGAAGTCTGGTTTCCTGCCCAGGACAGGATGTCTATACAGATATATACATTTTGATCCTGACACTCTTGAACTATTGGTAGGTAACAGAAGTAACAGGCATTGCTGCTGCCTTTGTTGCTTATGGCAGAGTTGACTGGAAACTAGACTTTCCAGATAAAACAGTATAGCCAATGACATTTGAATTTCAGGTGCTAGAGACAGGGGTCAGTGGTTAAGAGTACTTGCTGTTCTTGCAGAGGACCCAGGTTCAGTTCCTGCACCCACATGGCTGCTCACAATTGTCTGTTAACTCCTGTTCCAGAGAACTAGATGCCCTCTTCTGGCCTCCAGGGGCACTGCCATGCATGTGGTACACATACATACAGTATGTAATACATTCATTCATATGCATAAAAGGGTCTTTTATTCATTTAACATATATTTTCTTGCTAACTTCTGCAAGGCAGAGATGTCCTAGGAATCTTTTACTTTATTCTTACCTGTTTTTGTCGGCATCATGCTTCTTAAATTCATAGAGGCGGTCGAGGGATGAGCAAACAACTTCTGCTGCAGAGCTCTCAGGGCCCTGCTGATCCTGCGACAGGAGGTGAAAAAGGACATTTGAAAATGTGTCTAGGATAGTCTTGGGCTCCACCACGTTCTTCCTCTCAGTCTCACCTTCCCGAGAGCTCAACCTTGGAAGGAAGTGCTGCATCTTTGATGTTTTCCTATTGCCCCCACCATTCCCTGTTGTATACAAACAGGGTCAATCTGGGGACACTGAACTTTCCTAGTACTGGACAGTGGCTCAGTTCTGAGAAAGATCGCCTCTGTGAACAAGTTGTCTAACCAGACTCTGCCTCCATCTTTCTACTGTAAAGCAGGTATAAAAGGCTGCTTGTCTCAGAGGGTAAGCGTGAAGAGTAAATGCGTAAACTCATGCAGATCGCTTTGAAGAAAGCCTGGCACCCAAGGTGTGCCGTTCATTATTATACTAAATCATTGTTTCCTTATGTTTTGTTATTATGTTAAATAAAAAGCAAAATTTATGAAAAAAAATTCACTAATTCTGTTTTCTTACTCTTTTTTGATGGAGAAGATGGTGCCTGGGATCAAACCCAGAGCTTTGCCCATGCTAGGCAAGTTATGAACTATAGCCCTAGCCCAGTTTTCTCATTTTTATTGGGTCAATAAAATAATTCTGAGGCACTTTGCCCAAATAAGTATTCAATAAATATCTATAATTGAATGAATAAGAATTTAAAAGGAGATAAAAAGAAAATGTACTTTATTTGTAATATCTTATCAGAGAGTCAGACATCCTACAATGACCAGCTAGCTGGTCTTTTCAAGTGACAAAAGTTGGTTTTGATTTTGGGTTTTTTTAAAAGCATTTTAGTCATATTGATAAAAATGTTCATTGTAGGCACTCTGGAGTCAGAAGCAGAAGGATGAGGAGTTCAAGGCTACATAGCAAGTTCCAGGCCAGCCTGGGTTACATGAGACTGTTTCAAAAAACAAAAAGAGAGAATTAAAAAAAAAAAAAAAACCATCTTCATTGTAATTTAACTTAGTTGGCATAGCAATCCACAAATGGGCTCCATTAACCCTTTCAAAAAGTGTGAACTACCCAAACCTGTCTAAATTTCAATGATGTATGAACACATATGCTTTTTCTGGAGAGAATTTGTTGCTTCATCAGAGGGTAACAGACATACAGGACTCTAAAGAGCATCAGGGGACCCACTGAACAGTATTCTTGCAAATTGTAGTCATTGATAGTTATGCTGGGATGGGGGATGCCAATGCATCCAACAGCCTTCTGGATGGATGGGGTCCATCACATAGCACACAGGGAGCACCTCTGGAAGTCTACATGGTTCTCTTTTTTAAAGAAATTATTACATTTGTGTGTGTGTGTGTGTGTGTGTGTGTGTGTGTGTGTGTGGATCTGAGAACAATTCGGGAGAATCAGTTCTCTCCTTCAACCATGTGGGGGAGACAACTTGGGTTGTCAGGCTTGATGGCAAGCACCCTGATCAGCTGAGCCATCGTGCCAACTCCTCTGTATGACTTCTCTTATCAGTCCCTCTCACCCACAGAAGTAGGAACTGTCATTCTAACATGATGCCTTGACAGCTGCAATCCAGCTGGCTATGCTGTCGTTGTAAGAAGTGGATTCAAACAAACAGTAAATAATTCTGAATGAGAGTTCCTTTGAGAAAAGTGAGAGTGGACTGAGACATCAGTTACAGCTGCTTGGAGGCAGTCTTCCCTTATTTCTAAGTTAGCCATGGTGCTCCAGATGGTTGGTGTCATCTGGTCAGTGACTTCTGGGGAAATCAGGTGATATTATTTGATGAATATTTTAAAGAGCTGAATGTTCTTTGATGATCTTATTAAAGTACCGTAGTTATAGAATTCCTGACAGTGATTCTTTTTGGAGTGACAACAGCTAAATCCTAGGAAATTGTGGCCATTTAGTGCTGGGCCCACCCTGGAGGGTCTAACTGGATAGTGTTGCATGAGGTTCAGGTGGCTGTTTTTTTTTGTAAAGCTCCACAGATGGCCTCACTTTACAGTAGGGTTGATTCTTGGGTGAAGAGTTTACATTTTATGAAACATTTCTTTTAGAGGAAGACTGGACTCATGCAAGTTCAGTGCTAAATCTTTAATATGTTCTCTATCCACTTGATTCATGCTAACTTTGCCTATTTTGATTTTTGTTTTGTTTTCTTTTTTGACAGGGACTCCCAAGTCCCAGCCTTCCTGAACTTACTATGTAGATCATGCTTGCCTAGATCTCACAGAGATCTGCCTGTCTCTGGCTCCTGAGGGCTGGGATTGAAGGCATGTGCCACCACACCTGACTTGATTTTTAATTTAGTTAGCTGAATTATTAAAGAAGATTGTTCAAGAGACAAAAACTACCTCTCAGCAAGTATGTCATTCACCCTGTGGTCCCCTTACCCATGGGAGCAATGCTGCACAGTCATTAAACACAGGAGCTCTTCAATCATACCATCTGGATGGAGATTGCTACTTTTACTTGAGGCTAGCTAAGCTAATCTTTGTTTCTCAGTGAACTCATCTATCAAAATACAACTAATAAGGTGGGCATGGTAGCACACACCTTTAGTCCCAGCACTTGGGAGGCAGAGATAGGTGGATCTCTGTGAGTTCAAGGCCAGCCTGGTCTACATAGTGAGTTCCAGGCCAGCTGGACTCCTGGCCAGTTCCAGGGACTAGAGGGAGACGCTGTCT